GAAGAGACACTCGTGCTGTCGGCTGCCACCCAAGCAGCACAAGGGCTCTCGGTGCTCCCGAATACCCGCAGGGCTGGGAAAGCACCGGGTGCTGCTCCCACACTCCCAGCGCTCCAACGTCTTCCAACCGGCGCCATTCCATAAAAATCCCTGCAGGAACCTCCCAAGCATCAATTTAACAGCAAACAAACCCCTTCGGGGCAGGTTAATTAAAAGGCACCTAATAACCCCCTCCCACCAGCCCTGCTTTGTAGCCAGGGGCACAGTGAGGCATTTGGCCGGGAGCTCCCAGGCATGGCCAAATTCCCCATCTCCCCACGCGGATCGACCTCTCCGCTCCCAGCCCGGGACACCCCGTGTGGGAGGCACAGGCTGTCCCATGAAATAATATTTTCCCAGCCATACTCCAAGCCCGCCTGTCAAGCCGAAGCCTCTTTGCTGCCTGTTTTCCCAAAGCTGGACAGGAAACAACCCGTGGGCACAACGGGGCCAGCGCTCCCGGCCGCGGGGCCGATGAATGGGGACATTGTGCCGCGGTGCAGGAGCCGCCACCGCCATCCCTGGGGAAATCCGTGTGCTCGGAGCGCAGCCACATCCCGCTCGGAGCGGGAGAGCCCAGGGCTGCATCGCGGAGCCAACGATGCCCACGGCCAGACACGACCACCTGCAACGCCTGCAGAGGATGCAACGGAGCCTCAAAGGTACCTGAGCACCCCAGTGCTGCTGAAACTCCTGCAAGGAATTGGGCACTGTCCCATTTGGGACATTTCGGTCCTAAAACAGAGCCTCGCCCCAAACCTACCAAGGTGGATATGTCATTTTTAATCTGAATTACTCACATCAGCAGTACCCTGCGATGACCAGGTGGCCAGACCACACATGGCTTAACAAAATGTTTCGTTTTATTTGTTAAGCTTTTAGTCCTTTATAGACACCATCTGCTCAGAGTAATCAACACGTTTAACTCTACGTGGCTTTCACCAATTTTAACAAGCTTTTGCAGCAATCTCTGGAGCAGAGAGAGCAGCCTCTGCTAAGGATCTGATGGAGGAAAAGCCACGTTCGGAGTCCGGGGAGTTTTCTGCAGTTTAGCGGGAAGGAGCGCGGGGATGGGGATGGGGATCGGAGCACCACTGTTACCACCTAGTGTCGGACGGGAGCGAGGCAGCGGGACGGGCAGTGAGAGTGCAAAATAACCCACAAAATAACCTGAAAAATAACCCGCAAAATAACCCAACCCAGCCCTGAGCTGTCCCCACACAAACGAGCAGTAAAACATCCCCAAACAGGGAGCTGGGGGTGCGTCCTGGCCTGGCTCCTTCGGCAGCGCAAAGCGGCGGCAGCCGGGAGAGCGGCACAC